GATGTTCAGGGGTAAATAGAAGAACAAAAGTTAGGCAGTGGTTTAAGGTCAAAGAGGAAAAGATTTTTTAGGTTGGAAAGGCCAAAGGCGGTAGCCAATGGAGTGAAATTAATGGATGGGACATGGTTCAGAAGATAATGGGATCAAAAGCATTGGTGAAAGGGGTTTAGTCTGACAGAAATTAGAAGGCACCAAGCGGAAGGTTTTATAGGACATGTTTGTTTTGCAGTGTCTTCATTGCTCAGTATTATCTGTGAGACTAAGAATAGTTATTTTTACCTTAATTTCAAGCACTGGGTATTTCAGTATGTTTATAGTAGATATGCAGAAAAGGGAATAGGCTGAAACACCTTTTAGTGGAGTTAGATGAGAATTTAATCAGGTTGATAGACGATTAGAACATCCTAAGGAAAAAAGATGTTATTAATTTTAACATTTTATTTATTTTTATTATTTTATTTTTTATTTAATTTATTTTTTTAGCGCCTACAGCACCTGGTATTCCTAGATGGTCTCCCATCCAAGTACTAACCAGGCCCAACCCTGCTTAGCTTCAGAGATCAGACAATATCAGGCACATTCAGGGTGGCATGGCCGTAGACTAATTTTAACATTTTAAAATTAGAAACCTTGTGGGATATGGGAAAGAAGCGATAAACTTGGTAATTTCTGGAACTTTTTCTACTTTCTGTTTTCACTGACTCTTATTGGTGTATCTGTTTTTAGATAAAGTTGAGATGAGAAGCTTTCTATCATGACTTAGATTCAGTATGTTTTATATGCTCTTATTATGTTACTGTGGATAAGCAGCTTCTCTGATTCTTATTTTTCTTATCTTTAAAATGAGGCTAATAATACTTTCCTTTTATTTTCATAGCAACAGTAATGGAAGTAAAGGGTTTATCATGTTATCCAACACATAATAGGTTCTCTATATGTAGTTCCCTTCTCCAGATAGTGCCTGAATGTGATGTATGGGATATTTGGTTACTTTGCAACCTAGAAATTGGTGCAGAGAATTCTTCTTATTGTAGACATAATAGATAGTATACTATTTAATATAATTGAATATTTTTATTTGGAGTCTGGTTATTAGATAATCAGAGAAGTTCTGCTGGTACATAAGCATCATGTAGTCACTAAATGATAGATACATTATGAGATAATGTGGGTTCTAATAATTTTTTTTTGTTCTGGCTGCAAAGGCATGTAGAGCCATAAAGTCCTATGTCTGTACAGCCCTGTCACCATATTAAGCACACCAATTAAAGAGAACTGAAACTAGGTGCTAACAACTTACCATATGTGACTTTTACCTCTGGCCACTCCATGTCACTCTCCTTTGAACCCTAAATATTTGTTTCCTCATGATTCTATTTTTGCCCATTCTTCACGCTGTATACTTTCCCCAGTAGCCTCATCTACTTTCATCACTTTAGGAACCTCAGTTATATGTCAAGGTCTCTTAAATCTGTATTCTCTTCTGACCTTTAAAATAATATACATATACCCTGTCTGAAAGCAGAGCACTCCTATGAAACCTTTTGTAAGCAGAAATGGCATATAGCAAAGAAGCAACTACCGTTAATTTAAATGGAAAATTTTTGAGCATTCCCAAAACCAAAAAATAACCTACCAAATCATATCAAATAACACAACAAACCTACAATAACACTTACATAGTAAAAGCAGTGTTGCTCTCACTGCTCCAGGTGCATGCTGTCTCCTGATGGCTCACAGCAGCAAAACAAACACTGAATGCTGTTTTTGCCTTCTTTTTTTTTAAAGTGAAAGTCCCTTTCAAATTTCTTTTGAGTAATGAAAATCGGCACCAGTGTAGGTCTTTCACAAAAGTGAAGTGGCGTAACGTAGATTTTCGGAAAGTGGGAGATATCTTTATCCTCCCCCTTTTTTTGTTGTTGGGCATCTCTAACCAGGATGTCTTTTGGGCAAACCAAATATAATATATCTAAAATTGATTTCAATTTATTTTACTTTCAAACCTACTGTTTTATTCATCAGTAAATAGTACCTCCATTTTCCATTTTTTCAAATTTAAATGTCATTTTAAACTTCTCTCTTTCTTTTATCACCAGACTTCCAGTGAGTCACCAAATGATATAGACGTGCCTGAGCCATTTCTTTCCTTTCTCATGGCCACTACTCTTGTCTAAGTGACCATCATTTCGACTAGACTATTGGGAAAGGAAAAATAGAAGTAATGTTAAAAACACGAGCTCTGGAATCCAGCTACCATTTACTAGCTGTGTGAACTTGGGCGAGCTACTTATGTTCTCTGTACTTCGATTTCCACATATTAAAAATGGGGACAGTAAATATATGTTTACCTTAAAGGACCGTTGGGAGCATTGGAGGAAACAATTCATGTAGACTGTTTGGCCAGTGCCTAATATATAGCAAAATACTTGGCAATTATTAACTATTACTATTATTTATTACATTATAGCAGCCTCCTCCTAATTGATCCCCTGTATCTATTCTTGCCAACTTCTAATTCATTCTTTACACTGAAGCCTCAGGCAATCTTTCAGAAAACAAAAATTCTTTCCCTGCAGCAGCTTCCCATTGTCCTTAGGGTACATTCCACACTGTTTAACATTGTTTATAAGGCCTATGATTTAGATCATGCCCTTTTTTTCCTCTGGTTTATTCTCTGCTACTATTTCCCTCCATCTTTCAGCTTCTGGACTGCGTTCAGGTCATTTGACATACCATATATAGTCATCCTTTGCCACATTTTAAATGTCATTTTCTCAAGGAAGCCTTCCCTGACCTCCTAAACTGAGCTAAAAGCCCTTTATGTACTCCCCTAACACCTTTTTATAACATTTACCACCCCAGTAATTACTTGTCTCCTCTAGTGGTCTATGAACAACTGGCAGTGGCCTGCATTGTTCGTCACTGTATTCTCAACCTAACAAGATATGTGCTTGGCCCACAGGAAGCCATCATACATTTGTTTCTTGAATGTTACTTCTCTTGGCCTCAATTTTCTCATTTTTAATATAGAAATAATGCTAACTTCTCACCGTTATATTGACCAAATGACAGTATGTTTGAAGTATCACTGAAATAGTAATTGTATCATTGATTCAATATCATTGTACTGTGAAATCAGTATCATTTGAGCTATTAAAATAAAGTGAAGGAAATTCAAAACTAGGATTGGGCCGCCTCTAAACCACTACTAGAATGTGAACTCAATGAGAGAAGAGACTTTTCTGTTTTGTGTCCTCCGGTATCTCCTTGACCTAAGAGCAGGACCAATCAATATTTGTAGAAGGAAGGAGGCCTAAAAGAATAGAGAAAGCTGTTGAGCTTTAGTGACACACTTCTGACTATACCCCAGATAACCATTTCTATACTGGATTTTGTATCACCGTGTAATATTCCATCTCCAAAACCTGGATAAAACCACCTATCCATTATAATGAAAGAAGAATGTGGGTGCAGCAGATAATTTTGTATGTTTGGAGGCAGTGATGAGGTAGTGTTAATCTTTTGGCTTTTATTTGCTCCGGAAGTATAAAGTCATTTCTCCTTCTGTATTTATAACTATATTTGGGCTGCTAGGTACTACTGGAGAAAATCACAGCTGGTCAGTGTGGTACCATTGTAAAACATTATTAATCTCAACCACGTTTTCCACATTCCATTGCAATCCTATTGTGTTTTACTGCGACTCATTTCAGTCTTCTTCTTGTTGACTGCAGCTTGACTTTTGTACAGCCTCCCTCCCTCCAAATCCACAGGCTTACCTACATCTAAAACTGTCACACTGGGAAAGTTGCCTCTTTTTTTCTAGAGGAAATCCCTTCTTGAGGTCTGAAGGTCCCCTTCCTCCTACTGCTCTGTATTGTTAATTATTCTTTCTGTATTCTGAGCATCTACCTACCTTTCCTTGGGCTCTATTGACATTTAAATATACTCATCTTTACTTCTCTCCACGTCCCCTTATATCTATTGCTTCTTTCTGCTCTTTCACTTTCTATTTCTTGACCCAGCCTCAAATTAGCTTCTGCCTCCCGCAACTACCCCATATTAGTTTTTTGCTAAAACTAATGAACAAAGTATGTGAGACAAAGTGCTATCGACTAATCTTTCTTCTAGAAATATTTTCCTCACCACATAGTCCTGGTCTTCCTGCTTGTGTGTCTGGAAAAGTTGAGCATTGAAGGAGGTAACTCCAGAAAGGATGACTAGAAAATGCAATGCATTAACTATCAGTTGCAGAGGGTTTTTTTGGTAGGTATTTCAGAAAGTATCTGAATAGTAAAGAATTCTAAGGGACTCCAAGTAAGTGAAAATAGTTGCAGGTTTAAGAGCATTAAGCAGCAATTTCAGGGGAATTAGTTTTGTTCTGCGGAGGGCAAGGATTGAATTTGAGATTCCAAGTGTGGGGATACTAGGTTGTTTCATTTTTTTAATTAACTGCATCTTTTAGATCCAGCCTTTAAAAAGCAAGCTAAGTACAACAGTATAATGTCTTAAATTATACTTTTATAATTTGGAGACAAATTTATACAGTTTTTTACTTTTTTTCCCTTCAGACATTGAATGTAGTCCATTGTTCTTTAACAATTACTGAAGGTCTTTTGACCTGGTTTATCTCAATTATAGCCCTCCCAATAATTCTTTGAGATCTGGAGACAGGCGTGACTTATGTGAAGATCTATTGCAAAAGACTTTTTTCTGAATTAGAGATTTATTAAACACTGTAAAGCATAAAATAAATCATTTGTAATGCGTGAAAAACGGTGTAAGTACTTTAGGAGTTTGGCAGTTTCTCAAAAAGTTACAGTCACCACATGACCTAGCAATTTGATTCCTAGGTATATGCCCAAGAGAAATGAAAACATATGTCCACACAAAAACTTGTACTCATAGCAGCATTATTTATAGTCACCAAAAGGTGAAAACCATCCAAATGTCCATCAACTGATGGATAAATAAAATGTGGTATACCCATCAATAAAAAATAATGAAGTAGTAATACAGGCTACAAAATGGATGAATCTTCAGACATTGTGCTAAATGATAGAAACCTGAAACAAAAGGCCACATGTTGTATGGTTTGATTTATGTAAATGTCCAAAATTGGTCAATCCATAAAGACAAAGTAGATTAGTGCTAATGACTGGGGGAGGGGGAAATGGGAAGCAACTACTAATGTGGATACAGAGGTTTCTTTCTGAGGTAATGAAAATGTTCTGGAATTAGATAGTGGTGATCGTTGTTATACAGTCTTGTGGATATATTAAAAATCACTGAATTGTACAATCTAAAATTGTACACTCTAAAAAGGTGAATTTTATAGTTTGTGAATTATATCAAAGTTTAACATCCCCTTCCCCTATACTGTCCTCATATTAAAATTTGATACTATATAATCTACCATATAATTTCAAAAACATTTATGATGTCTTAATTGTAACATAAACGAGAAAAGGAAATTTATGATAAAATGTATTTCTAGGACTTGTGCCTATTCATAGAATCACATGAATCCAGTAGCTTCAAATGTAGACTGATATTTTATTGGTGTCTCAAATACCATGAACAGCTTTACTGGGGTAAAAAGAATTTCTAAAATAATAAAGGATAAAGGAGGATCTTCCTTTGTTTTATATGATACACTTATGGTAAATTCAGTGTATATTAAAACTATGCAAAAATTACTTTGTATTCATACGTAAAATGAAGTTGAGTTCTAGTCTTAGGTATTAATGGTTTCTTGATTAATTCAACTAAAATAATGCTCCATGGGACAAATTCCTCAGTTTGTAAGACAGCATTCCTTGCACAGGCCTAGTAAATGGAAGCAAAGTACTTCACTCCAGGCCCATTATGATGACAACCAGGAACTCTGAGGGACTGGTACCATCCCCTTTGAGATCTACTGCATTATAAATACACAAATAAGCACAGAAAAGCGGGAGTTATTCTTGGTTTCTTTAGATCTTTTGGGCATCGTGGTAAAACAGAACATTTCCTTTCTCCACAGAAGTTAGACTGAGGAACAAAACTTTGTTGTATCCAGAATCTCATATTGAAATTCAAAATGACCTAAACGGCTTCACCTATAATCTTGAATCTTTTCTAGTTCACAGAGAAGAAAATGGTACATGCATAAGATCCAAAATATATTTTTCCTTTTTTCTGGATGACCTCATATAGTTTTAAATGTTGCTGCTTATATACTGTTAAGGTGTTTTATCTAATAAGCCTGTAAATTTCACTGCTAGATGCTGATAACTTTTATCCTTTTCTTCAAGATGCTCTCCAAATCCTTGGTGATGGAATATTTGACTCATCCTGGTGTACTCAGCTTGGCTGCTGGAGTTGCTTGCGGCATGTGCCTGGGCTGGGGCCTCCGTGTACGTTTTGGGATGATCCCCAAAAGCTCAGTGAGTGAGAAAGAGAGAGAGACTGGAACTGAAGCAAGCATCTTAGGAGAGAGTGGGGAATACAAAATGATTCTTGTGGTTCGAAATGACTTAAAGATGGGAAAAGGGAAAGTGGCTGCCCAGTGTTCTCATGCTGCTGTTTCTGCCTACAAGAAAATTCAAAGGAGAAACCCTGAATTGCTCAAACAATGGGAATACTGTGGCCAACCCAAAGTGGTGGTGAAAGCTCCTGATGAAGAAACTCTGGTTGAATTATTGACCCATGCGAAAATGCTGGGACTGACTGTCAGTTTAATCCAAGATGCTGGACGTACTCAGATTCCACCAGGCTCTCAAACAGTCTTAGGAATTGGGCCAGGACCAGCAGACCTGGTTGACAAAGTCACTGGTCACCTTAAACTTTACTAAGTGGAATTTTGTATGATGATGGTTCCAGCGCCGCATTGAAACTGTCAAATTCTAACAATAAAAGCTGAATTTCTTCCCCTAATTTAAGTATTCTCAAGATGACAATCTGTTCCCCGTTCTTCTGCCATGTACTTGTTACAGTTATCTTGGGGTAAAAAAAAAGAAAAGTTGGTTAAGTGGTCCTGGTGGTTCAAGTGCTAAAATTTAAAATAAGAAATAGGTCACAACAAAATTAAATTACAAGGAGGAAAACAGCATTTCCTATGCATGGTTAGGCTCTGTACTCATAGTTCTTCCCCAAGACTATGTTGCTGTCCCCCTTGGAGGATCAGGGGTTCAAAGGTAGTCTTATTGGATACACTTTTTAGATGACTGATAGCCTGCATTTTATTAATAGATCGTGGTATAGTTACACAACTGGTTTAGAATCTAACCTTCTGGGTTTTTTGTCTAAGTTGAGGTTTTATAGCATTGATATAACCCAGCTGTGCAGTGCTTCGTGTTCAGTTCCCTGACCCACACTAGCCAAAGGTTCTCAGCAGTGGTTCTATATCATAGCCTATAAAAGTCTTCCCCGACCCTTCCCTAACAATGAAGGCATTGAAACGTGAAGTGACTTGTATAGACCTTGAATGTGGTAATGGGCACACATAGGGATTTATGCAATTGTGAAGAGAATGTAGTGTCATCCCAACATCCACTGTTTACCTACAACTCAAGGAACTTAATCAGTTATTTTAGGAGACCTTTATTTCTCTTTCAATCTTTAACTTCACATGACATAATTCCAGTAATTACCTGCTGCTCAGAATAAAAAGTTCCCAGCTACCAAAGCTACATAGCTTCCTTTATTTTATTTTATTGCAATCTCTTGCAAAAAGCCATTTTTCCTGAAAGCCATTTTTTAGGGGGATCCTGACAGTATTTCTAAATTCACTATATCCCTAAAAACTATGATGATGCCAGGGATAATTTTGGTAACAGGCACATGCATATTAAGTGGCTCCAACTCTCCATGGTTAACTTCAACAGTAATTAGCATTAGTTAGCAGTTAACATCAACATAAGCAGCATGATAGCACAACTAAGGCTGAGTTGAGTGTGGAGAGAACACTAAAGACTACTGCAGCCAGTCTTAAAAGGTTCTAATATTTAGTCAGTTTTATACCATTTACACGAACATAAGACAGCACAGGAGAAATTTTAACTGTGAATGATGCCACAGTAGCAACTGTTTCTATATAGAATGTTTATACTGCTAGATTCAAAAGTGATGCAACATCATGTAACTGAGTTGAAGAGAACTCAATCCTAAAAGCATGCTTCTGGCTCCAGTAATTTCTGAGGTTTGCCTCAGAGACTAACGGTTCCAAGTTCAAAGAACAGTGCATTCCCAACAGGATGGCCTGCTGTGACTGATTCAAGGAACTGTAATAAGTCATAACATAACTACTAGGATGAATAGTATACAAATTGAATTTTTATACTATTCCAGAAATATGTTTTCTAGTTCACCTGTACTTAAAACTTATTTTTTAAGGTTCATAATCTTGTAGTTTTCAAAGTATGGGCAGAGCCCATGGGTTCTCTAAGACACTTTCAGGGGGTCAAAAATTATTTTCATAATACTAAGACATTATTTTTCTTTTCCACTGTGCTGGCATTTGCACTAATACAAAAGCAATGGTGGTTAAAACTGGCACCTTTCACAAATTTAGGCAAGAATACCTACCTGTACAAGTAGTCATTGTAGTTTTCACTGCCCTACACTCACAGTAAAAAAAAAAAAAAAAAAAGTTTCACTCAATATTGATGAAACAGTAAAAATATTATTAAATTTGACCCTTAACTATTTATCTTAATATTCTGTGTAGCATTAAACACTTCTGGTATACACTGAAGTATGATTGTTGTCTTGAGAAAAAGACTTATGTGGCTAGTTTTGAGCTGAAATAGCCGCTTTTGTCATGCAACATTTCTACTGGCAAGAACAACTCACATACTCTGGTTATCCAGATCTGGGTGTGTGGCAAATATTTTCTCATATATAACAATTGGCAGTATTTAGGAAAACTTTTATCTGCCTTGCCTCCAAGCTTCTCAAAACTTAAGACTATTCTGATAAAATCAGTGTACCTCACAAATGATTTTTAAAATGTGTCAACATTTAGAAGAACTATATAACTTCGTAAATCAGTGTCTTCCACATAACCAGTGCATGAGGGTACAAATCATGCATGGGTAAAAGATCCAAATAAAGACAGACTAAATTTTAATATAATAGTACAAGTGTTCACTTTCATGGTTTGATTCCACATTTCAACTAGCCTTTCTTTGAAGGCTATTAAAATACTCCTTTCCTAATTACGTAACTATGAGGCCAGAATTTTCTTTATATACTTTAACAAAAACAACAGTAACAGACTGAAATGCAGAAGCAGATGTGAGAACCTATCAATCTTCTATTAAGAGAACTTTGAAGAGATTTAAAAAACAGTGCCAGTTATCACTTTTGGGAAATATGATTCCTCATAATTGTTTACGTTAACATGGAATGAATTTACTGTTAACACTTAGATTTTTAAAAATTCTGTTTTAACTACTAATGCACTAAGTATCAATAAATACAATCCCCACAAAAACCAAAGCTCTAAAAAAAAAGTTCGAGAACCAAACTAGAATGAGATCTCTGCCTGACTGAATCAATTTACAGAACATTCAAGCAGCCCTACTTGAAGAGCATCAGTCTCTTGCTATTATACTAATGTCTATGTTAAAATAGTTGTCAACAAATATCACACAGGTTTTTTGTACAAAGACTATATTTGGATACTAGGGACGAAGATCACTGAAAGAATTTTTACCACCTGAGAAGATTCCCATGTCTCCCCTTCTCTCCTGTTTGTTACTTTTAGAGTGCTAAGGACTCAGTACTCTTGTTTTCAATTCCTTCTCCCAGACCATCTTCCTGTTCAAAGTAATGTTAGAGAAGACCCCTTTAAAATACAGTTTACCAATTTACCATTTATTGTACAACACTTTCTACTGCCCAGTCTTGAGCTAGGCATTTTGTGATTTTAACATACTCTTGCAAATAACTCTGAAAAGTACTCGATGTTAATATATACATTAAGGACAAGCTCAGAAGTTCAGCTTGCTCAGGATTTGAACCTGAGACATACAATACAGCAGTTTCTCTTTCTCCTATAGAAGACCATTATGGATGGCTTAAGTGGCAACTCAGTATCACAGGACATAGCACCAGATTAATACAAGGCTTTTTTATTGTTCTTTAAAAAAATTTTTTTCAAGTATGCTATAAGAAAGCCTTTACTAAAATATTTTAACTTCTATTAAGGAAGGGAAAGAAAACAAGATTCCATTGATAAAAAAACAGTTGATTCAAAGTATGGGAAAGGTCTAAGAGAACATATATTGACTCTGAAAAGAATGAGCTCACTGGGCCAACTACTATTCTTGATTCTGACAATGAAAGGGGCAGAGATCCAGCAGAAACACAAATACAGCCAGGGCTCCAACAGCAAGATGTTTAAAGGGGGATGGGGGAATTTCCAGCTAATACTATTATTTCCTATAGAAGAAACTGAAGATGGGGGAAGAGCAGGGGTTCTAAGTTTTTAAAAACCCTTCTGTGGCAATACAGGCTAGGTAGGGGGCTCTCTAACTCTACTGAGGATTAAGAGTGAAGGGAACTTTTCAGCAAAAGGTTGGATTCAAATACTGGTTTTTAAAAATCAGCCTAAACTACTCATAATTTGAGGACTCATACAATTTCAACACAAGGAACAGCATATTAATGACACGTTTATATACTTTTATTTCAAGTTAATATAATATCCATAATCTGGTCATTTAAGGGAAAAGCTTAGAAAAAACCTGTTAAGTGCCACTTGGTTCAAACAATGGAGACAGCTGAAATGTAGCCCACTATAGTACTGACTGGTTCTTTACACTACCGTATGTACCACATTAACTACAGTTATGCACACGATGTGTTATAGTGCTTCCACATGTCCCCAACCGCACTCCACTTCGGCTCTCACGCCTCCCTGCACCCTCAGTATCCAATATGAAACTACCATGGTTCTTTTGGTTTAAGTCTAAGAGGTATTTAATTAAAACTGCCATTCTACATATTATTTCCACAGTCCAGTAATTTATTTTAAATTTGAGTAATTTCAAATTCCACAAAACTGAAGAACAGCAATATTTTGTTTGAATTCTCTCTTCTGTACACTCAGTGATCTAAAACACCACAATATCCAACATACACAAACCTTAGGGAAGGGTTAGTAAATACACACGGATTGGAATTATGGTGCTCTTTGTTCCTGAATGGAATGGTCCCACAGAAAAAGCACAGGATACAGCACAACATAAGGGCACCTGTTACATATGAGTGAGCAAAAACACACTAGCATTTTCTATATGCGTAATGAGGAAACCTGCATAGGTTAGAGGGCCTTTTATGCTCATTTAAAATTCAGGCAAGTTGTCTGTAATGCATTTTTCAAATAATTTGGAGAGCACTGCAGTCCAGTGTAGGGTTATGCTGATTAGTGTTGTCTTGGCTGGCATTGACAGTCTTGCATGGTCACATACCAATATATTCGCTTTAGCTTTTCTTTGAATAAAAGAGATTTAAATGCATTTAGACAATACATATTGTAAGCTGTTTACATACACTAAATTTAAGAGATTCAATATTAGAGTTTTTTTCTTTTAACACTACAGAGTGCAAATCAGGTTCTTCACAACAGATCGAATATTAAGCAGTTTTTCAAAGAATGAGGGGGAAGAAAAAAAGCCCACGTGAATAAAACATTGAAACTATTCCCCTTTGAAAATAAATTCTAAAATGATGCGGAATGTGAAATAAGCTTTTAACATAAGTGATCCAAGTTTATAGTTAGAAACAAAAAGTTGTCCTTCATGAAATAAAGATTACAAGAACATGTGCCTGTTTTCCTGTTATACACTGAGAAGCAGGTAGAGACGATGTTTCAGTACGAAAATAGGCGACTACAGGATCAGCTTTCCGTCTCACATGCTGTACCCAAA